AATCAAAAACCCTCCGGGTGGAGGTGCGCTCTTCATTTTTGCTAAACTGATGAGGCCCTAATCCATCAAAAATCCCAGTGAAATTGGCAAATAAAACCTTAATTTCAATATAACTTTCTTGCCTTACAATATTTTGCGTGTCGAAAATTGCTGCACATAGTTTTTATGGGTCCCTTATCGCTAGTAAAAATTTGGCCCTGATCCGATAAAAGACGGCCAAATGCAGAGGGGGTTTTTTGGGACACCTGTAGAACGGAACAATATCCAAAAGGAAAACCTGCATTCTTTGATTTTTCCTGGCTTTCTGCGTCACCCGCCCTTCAGTCATAACATAATGCATCTGGCAGCTCTAGCAAAGCCCCAGGTTGCCGGGCAAATTTCTCGAAACTCTAAAAAAATTGAGGGCAGGTTTTAGGCTTCGATTTGTTGTTTTTGTCCCGAACCTAGGCATGAACCTGCTTGTGCCAATTATTGTAGCGGCGGTGGCTAGACTATCTTACCTCACACTTTTGGGAAGTCGAAATTTGCGGAAATCGATGATTTTGAAGTAGTTTTAGAGCCCTGTCGTGATGACTCGGCTTTTATCTGTTATTACTGCATGATTTATTCAAACGGGACCGTATTAGGATATTTTATTAGATTTTAAAGGAGGCTTTTCTCCTTCTTTTTTTCTTACTTTTCACATGTCTAATGCATTTTCAATTTTCAGCCCTCTCTCTCTCTCGCTTCCGGGCTTTTTCCCTTACACCGCGGTCTGGGAGCCCGACGGCAATTCGAGAAATTTATTGTCTTTTTATTGAGTGAACTGTTCGCGTCGGACGCTTCATTTAGCTACTTTCTATACTAGGCAACGATGGATATTAGGAGGTGCTGGTTCCTCAACAAAAGGGATCGGGATTCTGGGATTCGTGTCTGCTTCAGATTCGATATCTATCGAAAAATCCCGAAAGACCTGACGCAACCCACAACCGCCGGCGCTGTAATTTCGATAATATGCGTCGGCTTTATCACTTTTATGCTTTTCAACGACTTGATGGCTTATATTCGGATCGATGTGTAGGTTGAAGCCTATGCTAACGACGGAAAAATTTAGAAAAGATGAAATTATCGTCGATGACCCGGGAAGAGAGGGGAAAATTGATGTGCGGATAAACATCTCGTTTCCGTATATGGAATGTAAATGTGAGTGGGTAGTATTAGACCTAAGCTTACTTATACTTGCCTTGGTGTTGGCTTAGGCTTGGTTTATGCAAGGCTTAGGTTGAGCTTAGGTTTGGCTTAGGGTTAGGCTTAGGCTTAGGTTTTGAAAAGCGCTAACATGACCAGCTTCAGATCTGGGCGTCGATATTCAAGACGAAAATCGTTTGCACGAAGTCGGCTTGCCGACCACACGCAGAGGATTCCGATTGGCAATGGGCGAGGCTGCCTTTTCCAAAGTCAATTTGAAATTAATAAGGTTAGTATTATACGAAACTGTCATAAGAAAAGCTTGCCTTAAACGAGAACTCCTGGTATATGATGTATTAAATGCTCAAAACATAAAAATCTATACCTTAATTGTTTCCAGGTCCCCGGAAATTTCCACCTCTCCACTCATTCGTCAGCCTCGCAGCCGGAAAACCCAGATGTCCGGGCATGTGATAATATTCATTGAATGTTTGAGGATGATATTTCGTGAGTTTTTGTGTGGAAGGAATATTGTTCCAAAAATGGTTTTTTGATTTAAAGATATTTTTCCATCATTTTAATATCTTTTATGCTTTAGAAAAACCGGTTAAATCTTATTTTTAAGGAAATGGCCCTCACTGGGTCCTACGACCCGTTGGCAAGGAAAGACGTGAGCGTAGGTGTGGATGGGCTGAATACAATGAATATATTCTAGCAGTATCCTCAAATTTTTTTATTTTTATCATATTCTCACAAAAAATATGAGTTTTATCATGGGCTACTGCTGTTTGTATTAAATTTGTATATCTCCCCAGATTGTCCCCTCTCCGTCTACCAAGACATCTCTGGAGACGTCGCAAACAGTTACCAATACACCTATGGCCACCGGTAAACTTCAAAGTACAACGCCGGAAAACTACCTTCTAGAAACTTCCTCCATCACCACCACACGGGCCACAGATCCCGGCCGTCTGGTTCAAATACGAACTACAACCAATTACGGTCCGGCCAATGGGAATATCGACAAAGTTTTTACACGTTTTTGACATCAGTAAGAGTCAAATAAAACTTAAAAATCAAATACCCAAAATTTAGGTCTGCGCCGTCGTCGGCGGGACTTTTACCGTCGCCGGAATCATCGACTCCACCTTCTTCACCATCCACGAAAATGACTGCTTGTGGCAGCAGCTGGGGAAATTGACATAATTTTCGATATTTATCCTATCGATTTTTTTTAATTTTCATACATTTCTTCTGTAATTTAACGGTCAAGCGTCAAGTTAATATAAAGATTATAACAACGTTTTGAAGCGGACCTAGAAAAGGCTACAGACTACGAGAGAAAGCGCCTGAAAACAGTCGAAACCGGAGAAATAAACATTTAGAAACTTTCCTTGGGTTTTTCTAGAATTTAAGATACTTGAAACTACGGGTTTTGCAGCCTCTTCTTTAATTAGAGCCGCAAAAAGCGGATTACAAAAGCAAATCACATCATGACCATAAAAGTCGCAAATTATCAGAAAATCATTGAAACAGCAGGCAACTTAAAAAACCGATGGCAGGTATGTATTTTTTTAATGGCCGCTTCTAAAGAATTCGTCGCTTACTTATATGAGCCGTTTCAACAACCCGAATTTTAATATTCAAGAGAATTGTAGGACTTTCTGGTAGACTGTCGGCTGCCGGACACTTGATTTCTAGTGTTCCACCCCGCAATGAGGACATTGATTTGTGTATTTCGGTTTTTAGACCCGGCCAAGGCTGCCTCTAAACAACGGGTGTGTGTGTGTGTCACAGTCCTGCAGGCGATGAGCCATCCTGCCTCGATCGATCCCCTTTCCATTCCATTCCATTCCATTGCATATTCCCCCTTTCGTCTTTTCCCTACCCTCCCTTTTTCGGTCTGCCGGCTTGTTTACGTCGTGCCCCGGGCACCCTCCCCGCGCTCGCACTCCCTCCACTTGTTGGCCTTCCGTTTTTGGTCAACAATCATCCGGGTTTCTTTCTTTTTATCTCGCTGAAATTTCCAATTTCCGAAAATTCGCGTTTCAAATTATTTAGAAGCGCTTAAGCTTGACTGACGCGCCAGCGCCAGATCTCGTTTTGTGCTTCTAGTTAGTTGAACTTGAACTGAAACTTGTTCAAAAGTTCAAAGCAACTTTTTGTAGATTTAGGAAGCGAGAATTCCAAAAGTTTTGCAGAAAGTTTAGGCGAAAGATTATCCGGCCGTAATCTAATGCAGGGAAAATCCATTTCAAATGCACAAAATTGGTGCGCCTCGTACCGCCGAACCCTAAAAGTATAAAATCGAACTTTAGAAAGCGTTTATAGAATTTTTGTCGGAGGAGAATAGTAAAAAGTTATTGCCTTTTAAAATTTAGGAAGACTTTGCGAGAAAGACTATCTTGGTAAAACACGGCACCCCCTTCCCACATGCAGACATGCGGCCCGGCGCCGTGGGTTACGGTCACTGGTCCACGCTATAGGATTATATCGCGTAATTCCTGTGCATTTTCGTCCACTAGCATTCATAAAAACAAAAACAAAACTTCTAAGCTATTATTTAGTGCATATTTACATTTGATGCATGGTAATGAGTAATTTTGGACGAAGGAAGCAGAAGATGGGCGGAGGTTGATGTAATGTCACTATGGAGCTACTACAGCGGTGTGCCGCCTGTAAAATCATCTACGATACAATTACTTCTCTCCTATAATGTCAATGTTTTGTGACAAAGTTCAGGTATTAATACTTCTTCTAAACGAGTCGCGTTATGGAAAGTGACTGAATAGATATAAGAAAGTTATAACGAGTTACTGATCCTGACTTGCGGTTTGGGCTGCGATGAGCCTCGTCGCTTTTGAGAAAAAGAAAGCACTCTCCACAATGTGATCTAAATAATAACACGCACCGGCTTGGGGACCTTATATCGTCCTCGCCCGAAGTGTTTTTTCGGGTCGGAATCGATCGCAGAAATGATCAAAATGTAGTTTTCAGTGTAAAAAATGCGCTGGAAAGAAGTTTTTGAGGGCTAAAAGGACCTTTTTTGCTAAAAGTCGGGGACCAGGGGGTGGGGTACGGGGGTATGTCGTTTATGGTCCTCGGCTAAAATCCAGTTTTTCTTGTCGAAACAATCCAGAAATGTTCAAAAATGTCATATTCAGTGAAAAAATGCGCTGGAAAGAAGTTTTGAGGCTAAAAAGACCTTTTTGTTAAAATCCTGGGACCATAAAAGGGGGTACGGGGTATATGCCGTTTATGGTCCTCAAGCGACATCCAGTTTTCTTCTCGTCGGAAACAATCCAGAAATGAAACAAATATCGTTTGCAGTTCAAAAAAAGCGCCGGAAAGACCTTTTAGCTGCAAAGAAAAATTTTGGTACAAAAATTCATTCAGCCCAGTTTTAGCCTAAAAGGGCGCTTCGTGCCACTGGGGCCTAGTCGCTTCGGGATGTGGTGCGAGCTCGTACAGGTTTCGAAATGGGGGCTGGAAGGCCGGCGTAGCGCTCGGGGGCGCCCGATTTTGGAAGAGGAGCGGCAGTCAAACCGAGCGACGGCCCGCCTTGCCTGACACGTTAGTGCCGCACCTTGTTCAGAAGTCTTAGGCGACCACGAACATCTTAATGGCACTTTTTCGAAGCATTATGAATTTCCAACAACAATCGGTTGATTTGGTAAAGACAAACACTCTTCAGGTGGGGACCATAAACGATATACCCCCGTACCCCGTTTATGGTCTCGAATTTTCAGCAAAATAAGTCGTTTTAGTGATTAACCTTCTTTCCGGCGCATTTTTTTCTTACTCAGTCATGACATTTTGAACATTTCTGGATTGCTTCCGACAAGAAAAACTGGATTTTAAACGAGGACCATAAACGACATACCCCCGTACCCTCTTTCATGTCCTCGAATTTTAGCAAAAAAGGTCTTTTTAGCCCTCAAAAACTTCTTCTTTTCCGGCGCATTTTTTTCACTTGAAATCCATTTTGATCATTTCTAGATCGATTCCGACCCGAAAAAACACTTTTCGGGCGAGGACTATAAAGGTAAATTTTCCCCACGCACAGGGGGATGGCAACTGTTGATCTAGTAAAGGAAAAATTAAAGACTACTTGGAATATTGATGGCTATAACTTATTGAAATACTGGAAGTATTGCTAAATGTCAGTTATAAACTCGATGGCTTATAACGCACCATGGCGCGACAATCCCACGGGCAAATCGGAAGTCCTCCAAAAGTGCCTATTACCATGCATCAAAAGCCAAATATGCACTAAATAATAGCTTAGAAGTTTTGTTTTTGTTTTTATGAATGCTAGTGGACGAAAATGCACAGGAATTACGCGAAATAATCCTATAGCGTGGACCAGTGATCGTAACCTACTATGCCGGGCCGCGTGTCTGCATGTGGGAAGGGGGTGCCGTTGGTAAAACAATGCATCGAAAATCTCGATTAAACAAAAAACGTTAGCTCTCCGTGTGTGATCTAAAAAATTCAACTATAACACTGTATAAACTCAGAAATTGTTCAAAAGCACAAACCATTCTAATTC